ACTACCACGACTCCTAAAAAAAACGTTTTCATTCCGCGTCGCCCCATCAAGCTCTTGCTGGATCCGCTCCTCTGCTATCAACGAGAGGAACGTCTGTTCTTCCGCAACAGACAACACAACTTTTTGGTTGTTAAAAAAAAGGTGCGCTCATTCAAAACAGTTGCGTTCAATCCTTCGCTGGCTGTGCTGATTAAATCTAGAGGTTCTGTTGTGTTTGTGTCGCAAGTTCAGTGACGCAGGTAGTGACGATTCTCTCCGGCCAATCCGTGATCAGCAGAGTTTACACGTCACGTTTTGGTAACGGTACGGTTCGCTTGGAACCTCAACCGAGATGGTACTAAAAAAAGTACAAGGTACCAGGTACTGTACCCAGTGGAAAACCCCCCAAAAGTGAACTGTACCGAGCCGTACCGTGCCGTACCATGCAGTGGAAAAGTGCCATAAAATAAAGAATTTCATTCATCTAACATGATTTCATTACTTGTTTCAGAATAAACCTGTGATGATTTTTTTTTATCTGCACTTCAAGCAAGTTTACCCAGTTATTATCAAAGTGTGATACCAAACTTCTCAAAGCTGCTTGCTGGAAGGCTGACTACTGCAGCAGGTATTTCAAGTTCACTGCCAAGTTATCCAGAAACTTATCAGGTAACCAAGTAAACAATGTTTGAATACAGAGAGTTAGGTGCAGATCCAGAAAGTGCAAGTGTAACCAACCTCTCAGTCTGGTAGACGTTCATACTGCTGTTCAGTTCCTCTAGTTCTTCTTTGAGAAGCTGAAGGTTCGAGTTCACAAAACTCAGTTCTAATGCAACAGTCTCCTTCACCTTCTGATTACTGCTGGCCCTGGAAAAAAAACACGATCCACATGTCATTTTAACATTATGTATTGTGTAAAAGTATAAATACAGTATGTCAACTGGTAGCCGTTATGCTACACCATTTATATTGCAGTATATCTGGTGAAACGTTTGCAATTTATCATGCAACTCATACTGTAATGGAAGATTTTGGTCATACCACCCACCGCTAAATAAACACACATCACAACACAGAACACAACATCAACAGAGAGGCGTGTCGCGGGTCACTTCCTGTTAGTTCTGGGTCAGGCAGGATGTTGGGCATAGTGTGTGTTATTATGAAAAACATGCACCTCAGTATTAGCAGATATACTGATACCTGTAAAGGTTTTCAGCTCCGCTCCGCAGACGAAGCTCTCGGTTGATCTGCTGGTTGAGTTTAGCTCTCCGCTGCTGCAGTTTGCTGCGCTGGGTTGAGACGAGAGGGTCACATCCCTAAAACACACACACCGGTCATGTCTCATCACCTGAAATTTGCATATTTTGAATTTAATCTCACTGCCTCTCTCAGCATTTGAATATAACCATTGCACTTCTGTTCTGTTCTCTATGCTTCATACTTATCAATATATATATATATATATAAAATACAAAAATAATAAAACACATTTAATGTGTGTATATATACACAACAAATAAAATACATGTATATAATCTAAATAAAATACAAAATAATAAATTATATATTATTATTTTTATGGCAACACTTTACAATAAGGTCTCGTTTGTTGACATTGGTTAGTCCATTAACTAACATGAACATATACAACATATTTTACAGCATTTATTAACCTTTATGTTAGTTAATAAAAATGTTCACAGTCCATTATCTAATGTTAGCAGATAAGTTACGAAGTTTGATTTTGGTAATGTGCTAGTAAATGTTGAACTTACCATTAATAAATAAATAAATAAATTATGTGCAAGTATTGTTTAGGTTAACTAATGTTTATTGTAAAGCGTTACTATTTTTATTTATTTATTTATACTTAATTTCATTGCAAGGACTTCAAAGAATGTCATGGTATCCGTCTAAAAACATGCTATTACCATGTTATTATTTTAATACTTAACAATACCATGTAAATACCATAGTTTGTGAATATATTGAATCAGTTACTATGGTACAATAGGTAATACCATGGTACTTTTGGGTAAGTGCCTCAACCTGTTATTTCTTATTGCGTTGCTGGTTTTAATGATAAGCAATAAGTAATAAATTAACATATTATGACATAATAAGTAATGTTCATGGAGCCAGAACTCTGAAAGTCCACCTAACGTTACCTTGCGGACCGACTCTGTCGACCCTCCGTCCTCAGCCGTTATATCCTCATCTGATCCAGAGTCACACATCATAAACTCACCTTTATTACTGTACTTTTCTGTCCTACACACCTGTAATAACACCTGCACTCACAATAGCGCTCGCATGTTATCAAACTGCGCAAACGTAACCGTAAATCCGTTACACGCTGCTATCGGAACACGAACTCTACTATAACGGCTATTTTACACTTATTTAATACTCGCGGGACACGGGTTTAACTATATATGTGTCTAAACGCATTAATTTCTCTCCATAATGTGATCTTTAAAGAATCTAATTCACTCAAAATCAGTAAATCCACTTGTTGCCTGTACGCGCACGAGCCACAGCTGATCTCTCGCATTGCGTCCTTGGGATTCAGCCAATAGAATCGCGTTGTTTCTGACTGACACATGCGGTAGCCAATCACAGCTCGAGAAAAACAACGGACTGACGGGGGAAACGTCCAATGAGGTGACGGTGATGGGAATAAAGGCGATTTGGAGCGGAAAAATAACTGTTGCCCCTGACAACACGGAGGCATCAGCGAGTGCGCTAAACAATAAAGACAGCGATTGTGTTTATCTGAAGAGACTACATTCATTGAATTGTTTTTAAAATCTTTCAAAGCACCCGTAGTTACACATTCATCCGTTTAAAAACCCGAACTCGATATACAACTTTTAAGTATTCACACATTACGATATGATACAGGTTTTTTTTGTAGCTAACTAAATCTAAAAACCATAAATACCATTTGTCACTAAAAGGAAAATAAGATTATTTTTTTTACATTTTATTTTATTTCAGTTACATAACTATACATAGGCCTAACTATATAGACATTTAAAATACTAATAAAACCCACAACAAAATTAAAATGAAAAAAAAAACTAAAATAACACTCATATGAACAACAAACATAGCCTGTTACCTTTTTTTAATTAAATTAGATTTACTATGCAAATTGATATACTAAAAATACTATTTATTTACTAAAATACTAAGCATACTATTATTTACTAAAACTAAGCATACTAGATATTTTTTATTTACTACTTCCTTTTACTAATTGTTTTATTTTTATATTTTAAATATAAAAAAAATACTTTAAGGTAGATCACATTACAATTAGGATTATAGGACAAAACATTCATCAATCACTTGTGTACATAAAAGCTTTATTATGTTGTAAAACAAACAGTAAATAATCATTTTCATTACGTCGTCACTTATTTTATTAGTTAATCATAAGATGAACCAATGCCATATTCAAAAGAACTTAATGCTATTGGACCACAACAAGCAGCATTGCTGAATTTGTTATTAGGACATTTTTTTAAAGGGAAAAGGGGATTTTAATGCATCTTTTCCTTTAGATGTAATGCTTCTGAGTTTGGTCTGTGCTCCATGTTTCGGCTCGGCTTCAGTTCGACAGCAGGAAGTTGCTGCCTTTACTGTTTCCTTTTGTGATATCAGACACCAGGGAGTGCAGCCGCTCTGATAAAGCCACCTTTAAGACAATGTTAAGAAACACACTTTCAGTCTGCAGATGTCATGTATTCCTGTTACTGATATGGTGAACTCACGGTGTAATCGTGCGGCTCTTGTAGTCTCTTGTGAAGCGGATGCAACGTTTGCAGAGAAATCTGTGCATGCTCACGACTCTCTGACGCACTGTTTAGGGGGAATGTGATCTGTGCACACAATCAACACAAATCTCAAATTAGATTCTGTACGAAAAGGCAATGAAATATACATTTTTCTGTTCAATTTAAAGAAATAGTTCACCCAAAAATGAAAATTTGATTAATATTTACTCATCCTCAGATCATCCAAGATTAGGATGAGTTTGTTTCTTCATCAGATTTGGAGAAATGCAGCATTGCATCAGTGTCTCAGCAATGGATGCTCTGCAGTGAATGGGTGCCGTCAGAATGAGAGTCCAAACAGCTGATAAAAACATCACAAGTAATCCACACCACTCCAGTCCAACAGTTAATGTCTTTATTATGGACTCATATTTTATGGACTCATATTTTAGCCAAAAGCAACGGTTTAATGTTAAAATGTCTTAATGCTGGATTTGTTTCAGCTTTTCTCTTCATAAGATGTTAACTGATGGACTGGAGTGCTGTGGATTATTGTGATGTTTTTATCAGCTGTTTGGACTCTCATTCTGACGGCACCCATTCACTGCAGAGCATCCATTGCTGAGACACTGATGCAATGCTACATTTCTACAAACCTGATGAAGACACAAACTCATCCTAATCTTGGATGGCCTGCAGGGTGAGCACATTTCCAGCAAATGTTAATTTCTGAGTGAACTATTCCTTTAAAACAGATTAAAATCATTCATGATATCTACTTGTCCAATGGCTGATATTGGCAGTGTTTACCTGTCCACAGGTGAAGACATCCAAACGCAGACTGGTTACTTGAGCCGGTGTGACCGTCTGAAGCGTCTCGTTCAGTCCTAGAGGGAAGCAGGTCAGGGAGACGCCCGCTTTAGGAGCTGCTTCTTCTGACAGACAGATCAGATCCATCTGCGGATGACCTGCCAAACAGATGTTCATATGAACTCAATTCAGCTCATGGTGCTGCCAAACGTGGATCCTGTGAAAGGTGCACTAAGCTCTATTTTTTTCACACTTAAAAGTCTAACGAAATGCATAATAGTTTTAGCATGTCTAAAATAGGGCTGAGGAATATAGCTGAAAAAAATACTGTTTACTATAGATGTCAATTCCTTTAATGTGACTTTTTAAATTATATTAATTTCCATACTTTTTTTTTTTTTTCAGACCAATGGATTTAAATTTGAAAATTTCCTCATATCCCCTGATGCTTCCCCATTACTTTGGCTAGATAAGAAAAATAAGCATTTTTGCAATATTTTATAATATTCTATCTATCTATCTATCTATCTATCGTTCGTTTAGAAATAGTCTATATTGTCTTGAAATATTGATATATTTCTGCCTTTTTTGCAATACTCTTGCTCTGTGTTTGTGTGTGTTTATATATAAAATTAAAGCAATATTTTAAGACAATATAACTAGAAAAATTAGATGGATAAATATTGATCTTTTTCAGCCTTTTTATAATACATACAATATTGTAGAATATTGTAAAAAGGCTGAACAAATCTATAAATATATATATATATATATATATATATATATATATTTATGTAAATATTTATATATTTAATCTGAAATGCTTTTTTAAGAAACAAAATAAAATGCACATTGAAATCATCCCAATATTCACACTGTTGGTTAATTTTATGTAGCATTATCACAAAAAATATTGTGAATATTTGCTATAAGGTAAAATTTTTATTACAAATCATGAGAAAAGCAGAAAGAAATTAATAAAAGGGTGATTATAAACAGGTAAATACGGACCGTCTGTGTCCAGAAGCCTATAGACAGACTTGCGTCCCGGCAGTGTGCTTTTCTCTGGATCTTCACTCATCTTCATTCGGGGACGACCTCTGACCTCTATCAGCTACAGTGAGTGAGTAATACAACCATCAGCATGCATTAATTAAAGCACTGTGTGTGAATTTTAATGCTGGGAAACCTTATATACCTTATATACACACCCCAGAGAGGGCTGACGCGTGCATGTGACCAGATGAGTCCCCACTCCAACCACGTCAATCTCATTATCCTGACACAGACAAACAGGTGATGCACGTCTTGATTGCTGTGTTTAATGTATCTGATGTGAAGAGCTCTTACTTTCTTGTGGAGTTCAGCGAGACTCTGTTCTGAAATACTGTTTGTGCCGACGATGATGAGAGACTCAAACTGAGGAACTGAGAACCTGCAGACAGAGAAACACAGTAGATTTGAGTGATTGCATGCTGAAGTTTAACACTTTTACACTATTTTAGTATTGATATAATATTATAGGTCTGATTTAAAATTGATTTTATTTTCATATTTTCTGTTTTCATTTTAATTTAAGTTTGAGTTTTTGTAATTTTTTTTTTTTTTTAAAGTATGTCTGTATTGTTTTTATTAAGTTTTAATTTATAGCTTTATTTAATTTACTTTTAGTAATTTTGGTGTTTCAACAAACTAAATGAGAACTACAAAAGTTGCCTTTGCAACTAGCTGAAAAAAGTCTTTATATATAGCTGAAAGAAATATTTATGTTTATGTAATAAAATTTTTTCTATGGTTTTAATTTTAGTTGAAGATAATAACCCTGGAAAAACTGAAACTAAACCTATTAAATATAATTTTCTGTTATTGAAATGAAGCTGAAATGAAATGAAATATAAGGATTAGATGAAAAACATAAACCTAAATGAAATGTTGCCTTGGCAACTAACAGAAATAAGTTTTAAGGCTAAATAGAAATATTAAACAAAGCTAATAAAAATAACAAAATTACTTCAACTTACTTCAACACCAAAATTAAACTAAAAAATATAAAAATAAATATTAAATAATAATAAAAGTACACATTCTGTTGTATTTTTATTTTTATAATTGTTTTTCCTTTTTAATAAAGTATAAAATAAAAATAAAAAGTATAAGAATACATTTCTATTTTAAGTTAAGTTTTTTAAATCACACAGATCAGTGCAACATCCTCTTTTTCACTTTTTACTTAATCCCAAATTAAAATGAAATATAT